TTTAGTTTTATTGTTATATGGTTAACGGTTATATGTGCAACAGTAATCCAATTGTAAACCATGATTATGTGTTTGTGGGTTTTGAAATTTGAAATTAGGGAGAAACTAAATTGGAACTTTCAAATTATGGGGAAAGTGGACTGGAACTTCCTATTTGTGTGGACCGAAATCGAGGTTCGAATTCTGTGTAGTTCTGGTGTTATATGAAACTTGCGAAGGGGACACAGATCGTTTACCCTATATTTTAAAGAGAACGTTTTGAGGTGTTTAAAGCTGTCGGGGTACTTTGGAGACTTGGACGTCCTAACTTGTTGTTCAAGCGCAATATTTGCCATTCAGGAAAATGTCAAAGTCAAACTATCATCTTTTGAAATTATTTACATCTCTTGAAATTAATGGAACTTCTTAATATTCCGTAATTTGACATAATTGGATTGCTTCTCGAAAGTAAAAAAGAGATCATAATGGTGCATCTAGTCATTCTTACCATATTATCAACAGTCAAACACCTCAATCTTGAAATTTTAAAAATAATGAATTATTTTATCGTATTTTGGTAAGAGCTATTGTTGTACTAGTATTATCTAAAATCTAACAAGAACCAAGATAGATAGGTACAACAAAGTAAAAATAAATTTTTTGTGAAAATCGGATTATCACGTTACCGTGTCAAACCGTCAACCTCCATATAGCTCCGGTTTGTGTATTTAATTATATATCTATTTATCTGTTTACACGCGCTTCGAAATTTTGATTTACTTATCTGAGTTTTTTTCTGACCGAACATCAAACAAGAAAACACATTTGTCCGAATTTCATCTGAAAGCTGTGTGTCCCCTTCAAGAAATTGAAAGAGAGCTTCTTTTCCCATTTTCTGCGATTCAGAATAATTCTTCTATAGGTAATCACAATTTGATCTTCTTGTCTTTTAATCTTTTCATTTTTCTTTTAGGGTTACGGTTGTTTGATTCTGCGATTTGGGAATTTAAGGTTTCATTCCTGAATTGTGATCGAATCGAATGGTATCTTCCTCTTGTTTTCATGGTTGAGATGGGATTCTGAAATTTGGGGATTTTCTGATTAGGTTTTTGTGTTGAAAATTTGGGGGAATTTTGAGACAGAGACTTATTTTTAACTCAGATCCTAATCTTTTCCATTAAGACATTTTCCCAGAATTGTTCCGTTTTAATGAAATGAAATTGATTTTCTGAGCTCAATTATGATGTTTCGTTTCAAAGAAATGGAGATTTTTGTGTTGATGATGGAACATTTGTGTCATTTTGCTTCGTTGATTATGAGATTTTTTCTTTTGAATCTTTGGAGCTTTTCTTGGTTTTTAACAGGTCAACGTTTTTTTTACGCATTGAGGCTAAAAAAGAGATGGCTGATGATCTGAGTTCAAGTACTGACCGTCTCGTAACACCTGAAAGTTTAAATTCAGAGAGAGGATCCAATCAATCGATTGAATCTTCTGGACAGAGTTCTAAAGCTCAAGGTTCCACAAGCCTGTCTATGGATGGTAAAACTGAGGAAGATGAGGCAACAGAACAACGCGATGTTGCTGAGGAAGAGGAACCGCTTATCCAATCGGTTGAATGTCGGATATGCCAAGAGGAGGATTCCGTTAAGAACCTCGAGTCCCCTTGTTCTTGTAGTGGCAGTTTGAAGGTGATATTTCATTAATGAATCTCATATCTCATTGTTTTATTTGTTTTTCTGTGTATCTTTCGTTCGAAGAAGTTCTCATCAATTTGGTATTTGTGTCTAGTATGCACATCGGAAGTGTGTTCAACGTTGGTGTAATGAGAAAGGCGACACAACCTGTGAAATATGCCACAAGGTAAATCAAATCACTAACAGCATTTTGTATAATCTTTTGGTTACACCGAATGCAAGTTTATAACTGTTTTTTCTTCCTTATGGAAACAGTCTTATCAACCTGGATACACCGCTCCTCCTCCTCCTCCTGCTGATGATACCATAATTGATATCGGGTAAAGTTTTTCTTAATCCTATGTTTTTATGTAGCTGCACTAAAAAAATTGAAAATTCTTCCTTTTCATATTGATTATCTATTGTGGGAAACAACATAGCTAAATTTCATTATATGTAATCGAGCACATTACTCATGCTACTGTTTTGTTGTTGTTGGGTGTGTTATATGCAGTGAAGATTGGGCCAATGGTGTTCCCTTAGATTTGAATGATCCACGCATTTTGGCAATGGCGGCTGCAGAACGCCATTTCTTTGATGCTGACTATGATGAATATGCGGATTCTAACTCGAGCGGAGCTGCATTCTGTCGCTCCGCTGCTCTTATAGTAAGTCCACGTTTGTTTGTTTTTTTATTACTAACTTCTTACTTTGAAATAGAAACTTATTGACAATGAAAATGGCAGTTAATGGCGCTTTTACTGTTACGGCACGCTCTGAACCTTACAAACAACAACTCAGATGACGAAGAAGACGATCCATCAGCTTTCTTCTTTGTACGTACATCTCTATTAATCACAGTTCGTTTCAGAACTCTTCCTCTTACTTTCTTGTTATAACTTTTTTCGTTTTCTTTTGTCTTCCTTCGGTTTTCGCCAGCTTTTCATGCTTCGTGCCGCGGGTTTTCTACTCCCGTGTTACATCATGGCATGGGCTATTAGTATATTACAACGTCGCAGACAAAGACAGGTATATAATAATCTTTGGAGAAACAAAAACCACATAAAATTTAAACTCATGTGTAGGTAGACTGATATTCTTGTGTTTTTGTGAAAATCAGGAAGCTGCTGCTCTGGCAGCTGCAGAAGTAGCGTTTATGTTACATAGCGGCGGGGGCGGGGGAGGACAACGCAGAGGAGGTTTGCACTTTACTGTACCACCCGAGCTTATATCTAATCCACACCACCAACCTGAAGCTTCACCGTAATGATAATATTCCGAGATCACCAGTAAAGAGAAATCAATCATCATCCGAAACGTTTGTTTCTCTCTCTCTCTTTCTCTGTGAAGTAGCTTGTGTGTTTGTGTTACCGTGTTGCTTCCATCAAACACACAAAACTGAGATTATAAAACACGGCAAGTTTCTTTGTCTATCTTCTTACAGACGAGAAAAGAAAGATTGTTCACCTATTGAATTTATGTTTATGCTTTTATATTACTTGTATTTCTCGCTAATATTACTTGTACTGTTTTACATAAGAAAATGGCAAAATGGTAAATAAGGTAGAAATCAAATTGTGGCTCAATTAGACAAAAATAGTCTCTTATACGATGGGCTATGCCCCATTTTGCTTTGGTATCGACCAAGTGGACCCTTGTGGAGGCCCAAATGTGATGAAGCCGGTTTTAAAAGTCTTAATTCTTCTCTTTTTTTTTTTTATTTTTCTTTTGACATAGTCTTCTTACTCTATTTCATCCCACCAAGCAAGCAGAGAAGAGTCGTCGAACTCCTTTATGCCAGCAGAGAGGATTTTGAGATCAGACCAAAAAAAAGTCGTCTTCTTCCATAATCCAACACGCAATTCTCTTTGTATGAGTTGGAAATTATCATAATAACTACGAGATTTTCTTTTGGTTTAATGTCGATAAGGTAACATATCTATTTGACCAAATTATGTAGATTCATACGTATTGTATTGTTTGAGAACCATTTGTTCAATTCATAAATTTATATGAGATTTTCTCAGACATATTACTTAGCATAGGAGGGAAAGAAAATCAATCTAGAGAGATTCAGTGGGAAACTCTTAAAAAATGATGAAATAAGCCATGACTTTGAACACTTTGAAGATTCGATGTTCCTCAGTCTTACACAGAGAAATTGCACCGAAAAATAACTGACATATCCTGAAGAATGAGTCCAGTTTTGATCCAACGAAGTCAACAGCCGAAATAATAAAACAAACAAGTCAACGATTGAGATATATATAACTATAAAGTCTTGAGAGTGTGAAATTAATAAGAATCGAAAAGGAGTTTTCGGTGGCATAACATAGCTCACTGTGTTTCACAGGAACAAGTCAAGCCCTTCACATGTTAGCATTTAATACTTTTTTTATTTTTGCTTAAATATTATTCTTTATTTTGTATATTTTTCAAATTCGTTTCCACCACTAGATTTTGCCTCCTTGATTTATTGTACGCCTATGTGTGTATCGTATACGTATAGATATGTCTGCGCCTGCATTGTTCCTCTTCATTACTTATCCTATTCACACATTTATTTTGATATTGTTTGTTGGATTATGGATTATATGGCTTATCTTTTGTTTAGAGATACGCCAACAACATAATGTCATGACATGTATAAAGATAGTGTCTACTAATTCTATCATTTGCATTTAAACCCGTATAAATATAATATATCTAGTTGGTAAAAAGATGTTAAAATGTCTATTTTTATGTTTGGTTTTTAGACATATTCATAACCATTCAGACAATTCAAAAATACCTTTGGAAAAAAATGAAAGTCTGAATTTGTTTAGAAAAAAAAAGATAAGATATAGGATTTTGACAACTCACAAAATATAATAATACTAATATTTATGTCAATTGCAAATCCACATTATTACGTACGGCCTCATCATAATTAATAATAAATAAATAAAATAATTAAATGTATTAATGTTGGAATTAACTCAGTAGGTGGACTCTTTAATGGCATTTTTTCTTCCGGGAGTATGATTGATTTGATAGGACAAAAGATACATACTATATCATTAGTGAAAATGTTTAACTGTCCCGTTTTCAATATTGAGAAACCAATATTGGATCTAAACCAAACAAACCTTGTTCTGAACTAAGATTAACTTTTATATCAGAAAAATGAACCCAAGCTAAACAAAAAATTCGGGAGAACAATGTCATATAAATAAGTTATAATTAAAACCGCAAGTGTAAGAGAATGCTGTTAATCATCTTTAAGTAGTTACTTAAAGGTAGAACTTGGAAAATCAAACTAACTATACAAGGACGAATTTGTGTGTTAAGGATATATAAGATTTAAATAATCAAAAACATCAAAAGACATTAATTTGCATAACCATATCAGCCAAGTGCAACACATTACATTTATGAAGATAATGAACCCTTTGCGTTACGTTCTGCTACATACATTTTTTAAAAATATAGAAAAAAAGAGAGATATTTATATCACCAAAAGGGAAAAAGAGTGTTGTAGAGCTAAAAGCTAGCTACTAAAGACTCTAAAACCCTAATGCAATAATAAGCATATAGGTTATAACTCTATATTATTTGTTATAACTCATAACTAATGAAGCCCTCAATTTAAAAAGATCCCATTTTGTTTAGTTCTAGTCTTCTAGAACTAGAACATCCCTTCTTGTCCTTCTAGTGCCACCATACCAACCATCTCGTGGCTTTGCTCATCAAATAACCATTTCTCCAACAAAGACAGAGACCCTTGTGATATTAAACCATGATCTTGGTCCATTATTATTTCCGGTTTGATCTCTTGATCATGGAAGAAGCTTGTCGCCTGAGTCAAGTTTTGAGTTTCTTCCATTGAATTGAAGCTGAAGAAAGATTGTTCAAACCCTTCTCCACCTTCTTCCGAGACTGCAGCAGCGAGTGGTCCGGTCTCTGAAACCGGAGATGAAGATGATAAAGTTAAAGCCTTTGGTGTGTCTTTCATGAAATTTTGAAGCAACCGAGCGATGTTCTCAGCACTTGACGCATATACACCTGATGGGTGTGGATTGGTAGTGTTGCTTGTAGTCGTAGTTGTGGTTGTAGAGGAAGAAGAAGAGGATGGATCATAACAACGGTCTAGCAAAGCTGATGAGAAGCTATGGATGTTTTGTTGCGCGATTACTGGTGTCGGCAACGATGATGATGATGATGGTTTGTCTAAAGACAAGGCCTCACAAAGAGCTTGTTTTGCCATGTTAATATCTGTCTGAAGTCTTCTTTCCCATTGACCTTTGTTAGTGCTTTGATGGTTCTTTTGTGAACTAGTGTTTGATGAGGAGACACCATCATTATCTTCTTCACCAGATTCATTAATCTTCTTGAGCTTCTTCTTCAAGTGAGTGTTCCAATAGTTCTTTATATCATTGTCTGTCCTTTCTGGAAGGTATGATGCTATGGCTGCCCATCTATACACAAATAAAAACATATATAGATCTTATTATATACATATATAAACCCAAGAAAGGTAACTTTTTGGACAACTATGGATCATGTGCATTAAAATATACCTGTTGCCTAAAAGGGCTTGAAGATGAACAATAGTCTTCTCTTCATGCTCAGTAAAATTTCCGCGCTTAATACCGGGTCGAAGATAATTAGTCCATCTCAATCTGCAGCTCTTGCTACATCTCCTCAGACCTAAACCACCATATTGACACAAAAAATTAACTCAAGAGACTAAATGGTAATTAGAGATGTGTGGACGAAAGAGTCGGTGACATAACTTATTAGCTATTTATTACACTTATATTAAATGATCAAACCAACCAAGCCAGAGAACAAAAAAAGGAGAATAAATCACAACCCCTAGTACAATTTCAAGATAAATACATAAAAGGGTCTAATTAACTAGTTAATTTGATCAAGAAACAAAGACAAACCTGTGTTAGTTGGGACAGATCTCCAGTTTCCAGGACCATGTTCTTGGATGTAAGAAACCAAGATGATGTCTTCCTCTGGTGTCCATGGTCCTTTCTTCACTCCAATCTTTTCACAGCAAGGTGGTCTTCCCATTTTTTTCACCTATTGAAAGGGTTTTGATGAGATATTAGAACAAAAGCTAATCGTTGCGGGTTTGTTGAAAAACCTTTGGAAATCTTAGGGTTAAGACAAAGAAAGTCCAAATGGGTTTGGTTTTGTCTGAAGAAGTGGATGAGAGATGTTGGTTATATTTATAGAAAAAAGTGAGTACGATTGATAATGTGAGAGAGGAAAAGAAGAGTTAATTAGTAAGTCATTAATAAAATAATGGAATGAGAAGCAACAATAATGAAGAGGCTAGCTTTCAAAGAGTCAACATGGACAGCAAAATGCATTTACTATCCAAAGTCAGCCACTCAGCCTTCTTCTTCTATCTCTCTCCTTCTTTGGATTACTACACGGTTTCAAACACAAATATTTTTTTGGACGTTTGCGTTTAGTAATAAAAAAAATATCAAATTGATATTTTTGGTGTTTTTATTTATAAGTAACAAACATACAAGCAAATAGTAAACCTCCTTCGGTCCTTCCTGTTATGTACTTTGCGTTTTTGTCTCTATTTTACTATCAATTCACACACATCAATGGATATTATTAGTACACATTATTAGATTGTAGTTATACTAGTAAGTATTAGTCTTTTTACACATGTGAAAGGCAAACATTAAACACACAGAAACAATAATAATAATCGGATTCATAATAACTTATAACAGGCTTCAACTCATATACTTGTTGACACCTCTATCATCAATCTCAAGATTGTGTAAAAAAATTTCTTATGAATATATTCATATTTTATTAAAAAAGTATATATAAATATGTTTGATTATTTTGGTAAACCCATCGAGTTTAAAATCATTTACAGAATTAAGTACCCATATTTTACAGCGAATATGCGGAGTTTTGACAGAATATACATGTATTAGATATGCATGTATATGAATAAATCTCAGTTTGGACATTCAAAACCGTGTGGTGCTGATTAATGCAAAATGTGTGACAGAAATTAAGGAGGTGGCACCGAAAGAAGACAAAATTAAAAGGAGAGAAAAGAAGGGCTATTATTTCGATTTTTCTTGTATTTATTACTTTATCAGATAAATACCTTATAATAGAAAATGTGCTTTTTTAGAAGCTCTTTTATCTAAGAGAAAATATGTTCTGAGTAATGCTGAACCCATTTATGCTGCGTCTGCCCAAAATATTCTCTTCCGATTTATCAATATAGATAAGTATTTGATTTACATAAGTGAAGTATTCCATCTAAATTAAATAAGTATTCTTTCGATACTACAAGTAAATTACTAAAGAAAACTTTGATGACATATCATTTATCACTTAAATAAATATATATTTGTTTTTTGGATGCCTGACACAGTTATTACTTTCGAATTTTACTTTGCACTTGACTACTGCATTGACTAAGAAAATAAATACTGCCCAAAGAGTTTTATCTTTAACTATATGAACTGCATCGACAAGATCTTTGTAACCAGCATAAGAGAGTCCATATACCGAACTGATGTATACATATATAAATAATTATTCTGATAGAACAAAATACTATATAATAAATTCATGGATTTCCAAATTTTAGCAACTTACACCACGCAGGCCTAATTTAATGTCACCTCCATTTTCGTGAATACATCCATTGAATTGTCGACCCCTCAAAATTCCATAACTTATGGGGTTAATATGGAGCATGATTATTTATTACTTAGTTTTATAATTATGTCCCTTTATTGAATGCCCACTAGCAAATCTAAATTACTGGAGCATACCTCAAAATCAAATTATTTTATAGAAATTATTTATAAACTACTGTAACTGAATCCTTAAGACTCTCAATTTACCGACCAATAAGATTTACTCTTCCTTATTTGACTTTTTATGGTCATAGCTAGGCTCGTATTAACTCTCACAGTAGAGTTTTACGTAATTAGTGCACTTCCTCTCTAAATTTAAACCAACTTGAGGAATGAATATGATTCGCAGAAATAATTAATTACTAGCACATTTTCGGCTTATACTCTAGTCTACAGTATTACGGTAAATCTTTCACGGACACATTACGCAATGAACCTTTCAATTGCATCAGTAGTAGTATCTTTTTATTCGTTTATTTTACACTAACATGCGGATTATTGGGATTTTAAATAGTAAGGTCTTATTATTTATTGAAGCATCATCACAAATAGAAAAACGACTATTACTTTTGTATTTTTCGTTGCGAATTTTTTTTCCCGAGAACAATATTTAATTTTTTTTACCAAACTATTCTTTTAGATGAAAAAGTTTTCTCCAAACTTTACAACTTTTTTTCACTATTACCAATTGGAAAATTCACGGCAAAAAAGAGTAACGTGTTTTCTAACTTTGTCGAGAAAACGACTATTATGGAATACTTTTTTTTGCTACATAATAAGCTAAAAACTAAATTTATAGATGTATCATATTTACCAATTGTTTGAAAATTGTATTTTCTAAATATTTTGAAAAATCTAAACTTGTACAAGAAACAAGAGGAATGTTGCGAAGCACGTCGTGGGTTTTTGGCTGTGTGCATTGAGCTTCTAAAATTATTATTCTTCCGACGTGCATTGAGCTTCTAAAATGAATTTAAAATAACATGTATATGTTGTATATGTACACTAATACTATATCATAATGGATATAAATTACGATCTTCCACGACTAGTTAAAATTTCATGAAAAAAAAAATCGGTTGAAACTGTATACCACGTCCTTTGGTATACATCGCCCATACTTCTATTTACTCATCAACCGGGTCACATATTAACTTTACTTTGGCCATAGATACCTACTTATAGTACTTTATTTAAAATATATATTAAGTATTTGATAGAACTGTACTAATTTATAAATGCACATGTTTTCATGTTTTCTTTTATTAAGCTCAACTAATGGAACATATTATTTTCCGAAGTTAAAACAAGGGTTTAATTTACTGCCACAATATCCTAATTTACACGCGAGATTGAGGAAACTAAACCTACTTTTTCACTGTTTTATTTATTTAGGAGTATCAATTAAAATTTAACTCAAAACTCAAAACATATACTAGTTGCTTTTCGAGGAAAATGCTTTAGAAAGCATTGAAATATTTTGAAACTATCAATATAACGTAAAAACAGTACCGGGAGACCAAAATGATAAAGTTATAATTATTTATGGTGACATTATTTTATATCGACCCAACTTTAGTTTATGCTTAATCGGTCTAATAGTAATATATTACTAACTGCATCTTCGAGCTCTAAAGTTCTTTGTTTTTTTCTACAATCAATTTGAAAGTTCCTACGATGCTTCCTATAGTTTCCAGAAGATTAATATGGGATGAAACAAGTCAACGACTATGGTCGTCTTTTGGATGTAGACGAACTTGGGTCATATCTTATTGTATACGCTATCTGATTAAATAATTGGTAGGCTAACCTAGGGTTTAATTATAATATCAATAACAAAACTTAGGGTTTAGTATTTTAATCCCCAAAAATTAACGGTTTAAAGTGACTGTAGCGACACGTGCCAGCATCCAAAATGGAAAACTGAGAAAGCTTCTAAAAAAAAAGAAACAATAGCATAGATTATTGTACCCATCGTCTAATGATGCATGCGATGATTGACGTATAATTAGAGGAGTTTTTTTTTTTGGTTTAATTTAATAGGGAACTTAAGAGCATCTTCAATGGTGAGAGCTCGTCATAGGTTTTCTCTAATTATTTAATATAAATTTTGAGAGAACCAACTCTCTTTAGATTTTCAAATCTTTCTTTAAAGAACCAGCTCTTCCCATAATTCAATTTTTTTATTTTATTTTAATCATTTTTTACAAGAGAAGTTCGCAAGAGAGCTCCCCTTAAAACTGCTTTTACTGTGATATTGCTGATGTAAGGTTGCAATTTTTTTGTCACATTAAATGTTAGACTGTCCAACATTAAAACGTTATAAAATTATTTAACATTAACATTTCACATAAAACGAAAATAAATTTACCAAAGCAACCACCAATTTACTGGCCAATAAGAGATCAACAACTCTTACATAAGCATAAGCAATTAAGAATGGCAGCATAGTAACAGTGTACTACCCATTTTCAATGAGTGAGAGTGACTACAATAATTTAATTTTATGTTTAATCCAGAAGATCCGTACCTTAAACGGTTGAACCCAGAGACACATTTAGGAAAAGTTGGTCCAAGTGTTGGGTTCGAATACCGTATGCGGGGAAGGGAGTAGGGACTACATTTATCATGTTTTGATCTCCCATTCGAAAAGATGTATGAATTTTGGTTTGAAACTATCCAAATATCGAAAACAACCACTATATCTTTATTGTATAAATAATTAGAAAGTTGCCCATGCGATATATAGATTATATATTCAATATTAATTTTGGATATATAATGAAATTTGTCTTCAATTATTTACAGTATTATATAAGATGCTCAATCAAACGATGAGAAACATTGATGTTATATATTATTTTGTATTGACGGTAAAATTAAGATATCAGACTGACCCATGAACATTTTCTTGAAAAATCATTTTTCTACCGCCCATTAATCGCATGTGAGCTAGAAAATTTGCTCTAACTAATCGTCATTAGTACATAACGATAAATATTTGACCGATTCAAAGTGTAAGACAATTACTATCCTATGAAAGTATGAAACTTTCCGAACCAACTTGCTGCATCCTCTGATTTTTAAAAGTCACGGATCTCCTGTTTTAAGATTGCATAAGTCAAACATTTAAAGCTTGATAATTTTGGCAATTTGGACTAAATCTGCTGAAACTAATATACATATAGCTAGGTTCGATATTTTAAGTTATACGTATTTCTATTATAAAGACTTTCAAATTCCAGGTTAAAGTTAGGTAAATATATTAACTCCGACAAGAGGTTAGTACATTGTGATTGGAGACGTCCAACTAATTTCTTCCGGGATATCTGATGTTTGCGGTCAATTGCATATATAATATGCATAGTGTTTGATTTTACTGGACCCAAATCTTAATATAGTGGTTTTGGCCGGCCATTGCATATTATTTTGGATTTTACTTGGTTTCTCTATTTAAAAAAAAAATTACAAAGCAACGAAAACTTATATATGTTTTAATAAAAATGTATGTTAATCATAATATACATATCCTAATTTTGGTTTTAGATCTCAAATTTCATACCTTATACATATATGGTATCCCACTATAATTTTTAGTAAGATATTTGATTGTGAGTATGTAAGAATATGAATCTATACACATGGGTTTCTAACTATTGGGTATAGCTAAGCCACTAAGCCTATGCCAACAAAAACTTATTCATTTAAAATAACTCAACGAATCGTAGTCTGATCTTCTAAATCTTAATCAACCTAAACATTTTGACTTAGCGTGTCTAAACTATCTCTTTATGGCATATGTTGTCCTTTTCCGTAGGGTATTTTAGAACCATCACTTTCAAGTTTTAATGTCGGTTCATGAAGATTGACCACGTCAATAGTAAGATGTTGATTTAAATAACCTCAAAAAAATGATAAGAAAATTATTGGTGCGTACGCATTTTAAGGAAGAATCTATGCAACGATGCAGATTGGTTGGTTAGATTATAAATAAGGTTTCAAACTATATGAATATGAATAGGGTAAAATATTTATAACCATACAATTATCTAGGTTATTATTGGAAAAACGACATCTTCCTGGTATATATTCGTTTGAATTACCATTTCTTATCAATAAAATCAAGCAATTTGACAGTACTTCGAATTCAGCAAGACAAATAAATCAAGTCACCTCTCATATTAAAGTTTAGCGGTTCGAAAATGACATACTACTATTAACACTTATTTCCTAGTGGTCCATATCAAATAGATTAGTCTTTCTATTCCAACAAATGTTAGATTAGTCTTTCTATTCCAACAAATGTTATCAACCCTTTTTCAAAAATACAATAAAAATGGTGCAGATACTAATTATGAAAAAGGAACTGTTTATAAAACAATTTTTGTATGATGAAAAACTACCAACACTTACATTCGTGGGACATTTATAGTAATATTGGTTAAATCAATCTATTTACCTTAATTAAACTCATATATATTGATATTTTGTTGTTAGCATTAGATGTTTGGTTGGGGAAAACATCGGACTAATCCTAGAATATTACATTCGTGTCTATCATTGCTTAGTGCTACACTAATCCTTCCATATTACTTTCATGAATTGATTTTGACACTTTCTCCCCTTGAACAAAACAGTACATTAACAAATATTGAATTGATTGATCCACTGTAAAAGATTTATAGTAACTCTCTAAAATTCGATTTCTTATGTCTTTTTTTTTTTTTTTTTGAAACAACGATTTCTTGTGTCTGTCAACTGTTTGGTTTAAAGGATTCTTTTTAAATTGTCTTCAAATTAAATTGTGATGAATTCTTTTTAGCACAATATCCATCATCAAAGCTGCTAGTATTCGAACACATGATATGATACAATCATACAAAAAAAAACGATAACGAATACAAATAAAGAATACATTCTTCAATCATTTTCTTAAAACTTCGAAATCATTCCCACCAGATTTATACAGCGATGCAACACTTCAATTGCCACGCAATTTACTGGCAATGGAAGAATGAACACGTGTACGGTAGAGATCAAACCACCTATCTTTCTCCGGATATAGAAAGCGAGGATCTAGGACAAGGCATGTCAAAGCACACAAGACGACAGAAGAAAATACTCAAAAGGAATTAGGTATGTCGTAGGTCCCACCTCAAAAGCAATATTTTATCGTATTAGAACTTGTGGTCTCCTCTTATAATTAGACATTTGCCACACGTCGTCATCTTGGTGCTCAAACGATTTGATTTGCGAACACTTACGCTTCTCCACTCCTTGTACAAAGTTCGTGAATGTTAACACGTGTTGACCAGCTATTGAAGATCACAACAATAATCTCTAAGGTACGAAATCTTTCAATTCAAATTTACTCGATACATAATGGGCGGTGTATTATTTAATTGTAGTTTCAGATTTAGTTTCATATAGTATATGCATTTTTCTGAAAATATACAAATTATTGGCGGTTGAATCATATTATAATCATTATGGGGAGGCATTTCGTATGGGACCGTATAGAGTATCGACGTATGTCATACGTGATAGAATTTTGAACGTGGCATGATCTTAGAGGGGTTTCATAGTTGACTATTTTTGCAGTTATGAGCTCGATGAGTATAAGTCAATTCTCATTTGAATTTGTTCACATTATTGAGAAAATAGAGCCTGGATTTCCAAGTTCCGAAAACGAAATTTTATTAATTTGATTGCATTTATGGTTTATTTCAATTCCATTGACATACATACACCTACGATTTTTATAGCTTGAATATGTTTTATATTTCGTCGATGTAAAGTAGGGAGATGGTTTTTATCAGTGTGGCGCAATAGTGATTTGTTGATTTCGAGTAATTAATTTACTTTATGTTGATCTTCAAACAACTGAACTTGTTAAGCTAAATTTAATACTGGAAAATAATATATAAATTAATTACCTACTTTTTTTTTCTTTGAAATATGGAAATTATTGTTTTGTACACCTATAGCAATAAAAACAAACAAACTAAAAGTTTGTCTTAATAGTTAGGATAAATTAGTTTTTGGCTTCATAAAACCCCCTAACAACATACCTTATAAGTTAAAGATTCAACTATAAAATAATTTTTAGAAGTTGAATATATTCGACACTTACCATTCATTAAAATTAGAGAGCGTGTAAGTAATCATTTGAAATATTCGGAAGGTTGTGGTAAATTATCTAATTAGAATGTTTGCTCAACTTCGAATTTAGAGATATATTATCTTTGTATGTGGAGTATATTAATCAAAAACTAATGTGTTGTGTTATTAACTTATTATATTAATGTTTCGTCTCTGTTTTTTCTTTCTTTCGTGTCTATCATTGAATTTAGGTTTTTTGAGACTTCCTTAGTCGCGTTTATTTATTTTAAGCGACAGTATTTTATGTTTTTTTTTTTTTTTAACTCACAAAGTATTTTATGTTTATCTTGTGAAAGTGTTGAAGAAACCAAGTTGTTGTTTATCACCAGCGACAATTTCAACAATGGGCTTGGGCCTGATGGCAGAAATAGTTTCTAAAATTTAGGCCTCTATTAAACTTGTAGGTATTGGGTCTCACTCGGTTGAATCCGTTGATAGCCCTGTTCTAAAAATCCCCGCCTAGCCCCGATTACTTCCCGCTTAATCGCTAGGCCCATCCTATCCGCCTCGATTAATGACTAATCTCCTAAAAAATCAGTAACCCGATTATTCTCCGCCTAATCCGATTACTTTCCGCCTAATCTTATATATCCCTATTATTTTTTAGATTGCAAGTATAAAAAAACTTTTTATTTTTGTTATTCAATCATTTGAATGGAGAGTTTGTGATGTTTTACAATAACTTGTGTTCAAATTTTAATAAAAATCATAAATTTGTAATAAAAATCATAAATTTTTACAATATTGGATTAATATATTTTAAAAATATTAAAATAACCCTAAAACTAATCCCCGATTAATCCCCGATTTTAATCCGATTTTCCGATTAATCGCTAGGCCCATGCCGAGCGCCCGACTAGCGCCTAGCGATTTTTAAAACAAGGGTTGATAGTAATGATAACAATCCTTCTTTTAAGTATCCCAATAGAAGCTGTTTGTGCAACAAAAGTATTATAAATCATCATCTCTAAAAGATTAAACAAAGTCTTCCTATTAGAAGAAAATTTAATCTGAATGTTGTCTGTAGAGGCAAGACCACTGGAAAGGTCTCAAAAACAGAGAGTATTAGTAACATATAAAAACAGAGACATAATTTTAAAACTTTGCATCAAGCAATCCAAAACTTAAGACTGATAAGTTTCAGGAACGGGAGAGAGACATCTGTCTGAAAACCCTAAGAATCTCTAGGACTTGTTCATAAGGAAGACTTAGATCTTTGACCACTCTGGTTTCGTTAATAGCATTGATCCAACCGTAGACACCAGGAACTATCTCTGGGTCTATAATCTTCAGACCCAAAACTTCTTCGTGTGCCTTGTAAGGGCTAAGCAAAGTGCACATCACAATGTCTACGAGGCTCATGGTCTCGTTTGTCACGGTCGGTTCACCATCAGTGTCAGAGAAAATCTCCTTAAGCCCTTCTTTCTCTATAACTCTCAGCTTCTCCTTCACCTCTGTGAGAGCTCTCTCTTGCTCTTCTCCTTCGCTTTTCACCACTTTTATCACCACATCGTAAAGCTGCAGAAAAGTTTATTCTATAAAAATTCAGTAAATTAAGTTCAAAACTTGAATTAAAAGTTAGGGTTTACCAGATTTACTTACGTGTAATTGGATGTAGTTAGCCCAAAACCGGACTTTAGATCTTCTATAAGGGTCTTCTGGCAAAAGATGTGGTCCGTTTCTCCACGTTTCGTCGATGTACTCAATGATAAATAAGGATTCAGATATGGGTTTACCGTTGTGGACGAGAACCGGGATCTTCTTGTGAACCGGATTGTACCGGAGAAGGGTTTGGCTCTTGCTCTGGAGATCTTCTTGCACGAATTGGTAAGGTATGGATTTAAGCTTGAGTGCTAACTCAATCCTTTTGCTGTAAGGACTCGCGTATGATCCATGGAGAATCACTTTGTTCTCAATTTCTTCATCCATTTTTTCTTCTTCTTTGGAATTGAGTATTGCTTGAAACATGGACTTAATTATTTATTATATGCATACAGACCACAAGTGGAGATAAAATGAAAATTTGTTATATAGTTTGGTCAAATAACCTTGTTCATCAATCTCATAGTTGCTTGGAGAAGAGTCTTTATGACGTGTGTAATCATTTGGATTTTGTTATTCAAACTCGACAATCGTCACAAAACCCCAATATATTGCTGCCGTGTCATTATCCACCGAGCTTAGTGGCACGTAATGCATTGGATTACGACCAAAAAATAATTTTGATCTAAATTAAAGGCTTCTTTCAGTGCCGGCTCAATATTTTGATGGGCTCTAGGGCAAAAAAAATTTTGGGCCTTTAAAATTTTTTTTCTTTTAGTGTTTTTGTGTTATAATTTTTTTTTATAATATTTTTAATAAAAATTTAATTATTAAAACTTAAAAACAGTAAATAAAATTTTTTTGGGCCTTTATAATTTTATTTTTATGTTGTAATCTATTTTTTTTAATACTTTTGTAAAAATATTTTAAAAAATGGGCCCATTAATTATTAGAACACGAGATTGGATCCCTAGCCGTCGCACGGCCCGCCCCATATTCTGAGCCGGCACTGGCTTCTTTGTTTCCCGTTTCCAAATTGAATTTTCAACAGTTTAAATCGATTCACTTTTATTGTAGAACACATGACTGAGAAATAGAGAAATGTGAGATTGATGAAATCGAACGGTCAGAAAACTACTGCCAGCTTTACTTATTCAGCTTCCAGATCAAGCCACGTGGCTAAATTACATCTTGACTCCTCTCATATTCACGGACACGTGTTCCCAACCTCTACTTAATTCATATACTAGTCTTGTCCAAAACACAAACAGAGAAAGCTAAGAAAAACTCAAAAGGCGGTGGTGAGAGTGTGATTAAAAAAACAATTCAACTGCAAAAATGAGTTCCGGTATCGGAAGTTTAGCGAAAGTCATCTTTAAGAACTTCGATGTCATCGCTGGGTAATTTAAGACGTACTATGTAACCTAATTATAATTTTTTTCTCCTTTTTAACTTTTTCCATTAATTAGATCGTTTTTAATGTGCAGACCTGTGATTAGCTTGGTTTATCCTCTGTAAGTTCTGTATAACTTTCTCTGTCAAATTTGTTCGCCTGAGCCTTTTTTTTTAATTAAGATTTTGGTTTATACAGATATGCATCAGTGAGGGCAATAGAGTCGAGGAGTCATGGGGACGACAAACAATGGTTGACGTATTGGGCTCTCTACTCACTTATCAAACTCTTTGAGCTCACTTTCTACGGACTCATTGAATGGTAAATTTCACACACAATCTAAAGCTTTCTTGATACGCAAGCTTCTACTTGTGCAAACAGAGTAAGGTTGTATATACGTTTGTTTCTAATCACTGTATAGCATTGGATCTTAGAAATTATGATAGATCAGTGTCTTGGATTTCACCGACAAATTTTGTTATGTGAAAAATGCTTAGAAGTTGTTTTGGAGATGAGTCCGATCCCTAATTACCTATCTTTAACTTTCTTGAAGTCCAAGTAAGGTGCTTTAGGTTTTTGAGGAGTCGTGAGAGAAACTGTGCTGTATGTAACAGTGGTTCGTAGATTCAATTCTATAGACTAAAGTTTCGAGTTTTATGCTATGGTATGGTCAGGATCCCATTATATCCATACGCCAAGCTAGCCCTAACTAGTTGGTTGGTCTTACCGGGCATGAGCGGCGCTGCTTATCTCTACGAGCACTATGTGCGTTCATTCCTTTTAAGCCCACATACTGTTAACGTATGGTACGTGCCAGCCAAGAAGGATGACGATTTAGGAGCAGCCGCTGGCAAATTTACTCCGGTAAATGATTCCGGTGCGCCTCAGGAAAAGATTGTGAGCTCGGTATGACCTCTTAACTCTCTCTAAAACCCCTATTTGTGACCTAAATGTTTGAACTATGAGACTCATCAGTTTCTTGAACGTTTCTATTTTCAGGTGGATACATCAGCCAAATATGTTGGTCACTCTGCTTTCGATGACACCTATAGCTACTAGTAAACTACTACATGCTGGTTGTAGCTGAATATCGTTTACCGATCTTAGTGTATCGTATACTTGTTTTTTTCTTTTTCTTTTTTTGTTTTCGGGTTTTATGAAGTTTGTTGTCACTGCTAAGAAATTTCAATATCAAAATAAAAGTTAATGAGTGAGTGATTTATTGTTATGTAATAAGTGATTTTTTGTTATGTAATAAGATCAGAGCACAAATATAATAGTGAACTAAAATGGTAAGAGTCTAGAGTAGCTAGTACAAGCTTCACGAGTTAGTTATTAATTTGATGACCAATTTAGTATCGTATGTTGATTGCTTTCATTCTCGACCAATGATCAGAGAGTTCAGTCAACGAGGTTTTGATAGCGCAGCTCACGGGCTCGGATTAGATATATTTCCTTCCAATATTTGTCGACTTTAAACAAGCAGTATCAAAAAACAATCGATCGATCCTAAAGAAATGGTAAAAGCCAAAAGCTTCTAGCTGTAAAGAGAAGAAGAATGAGTAGGTGTACTGGCCAATATATTCGTTTTCTTACCACGTTACCAAACATTTGTGTGTTTGAACCATATCTAATTTTTTCGCCCAAAAAAAAAAACAAAAGAACCATAGCTAATTAATTTTATATACACATATAGCATTTACATAGATCATGTGAAGTCTGTCACGGAAATAAATATGTTTCTTTTCATCGAAAATATGTTTAATTTGATGTTGTCATTCTTAAATGATTTTCTACTTTATTGTTAACAATAGAAATTGATTTTCTACCTTACATATTTTGTTCGTAAAATAGACAACTAATTTTAATGTCTTGATCTAAAATTTGCTAAAAAAAAATGTCTAAAATGAGAAACCTGAAAAAACGTTACAGAATGCAGAACAATTGAAAAGTAAAACCGCAAATTGTTTTCAAGATCGTCGACCGCGAGATTCACAACATCATCATTTTGCGTCGTCACACAAAACAGTGGCACAAGCTGATGTTCCTTTGGATCCTGTAGTTTACTATATATTCTTTTAACTCTATTGTAGTCTTGTTTTATTTTTATTTTGATATGAGTACTCTTGTGTAGTATTACTTTTGTAAAGTTTACATCTTTAGCAAAAAAAAGAAAAAAGCAATTCAATATGTATTGTGTAACAAAAAAAAGAAAAGAAAAAGAGAATTGCAACAAAAATGGTTTTCAACTGGGAAAAAAATAAAACTGAAAATGATATGTTTGCTAAAAACACGTGGGAAGGCGTTACATATTACACAGTCCAAATCAGCATCGTTATTTATTCTCATCACACATTAGCTGTTACCGAAACGAACCATGAAGAAGTTAAAATAAAGAAAACTGTTTCTTTCTTTCTTTGATTTAAAAAGAAATAAAATGTTGCAAAGATTAGCTAAACCAATGCTCAATCTAATAAGAATATTTGTGTCATTTGTTCTCTGTAGTGGCCGTATGTATTATTTTGCATCCGTGTCTAATAATTTATAGTACACATACAGTTTTCTTGAGGTATAAATCTTCAAATTTTCGTTCTTTAAAAAAAAAAAATGCAGGGTCCACGCGAGAGACGTCGTAACGACTAAAATAAGTTTTAAATTAAATAAATCTCTCAATCACTCTCTAACCTTCGATTCTCCGTCCTTTTCTCTGCTCTTCAGTTTTCTCTTCCTAACAAGCAAAACCCCCAAAACAGATCGAATCCATTTTTTTCCTTAAAGAAACTTAAAAAGAAAATTCCTTTTTTTTTTTTTTTTTTTAATTTGGGTTTCTTTCACCTAACCAAATTGATTCTCTTACCTTTTATCACATTGCTGCATCTGGGTTTTCAATAGAAACAACAACAAACAAAAAAAAGACTCTTCTTTTTGTTTTGGAGACGGATTCAAAAAAATGGCGACGAACATTGGGATGATGGATAGTGCTTACTTTGTTGGAAGGAACGAGATTCTCAGTTGGATCAATGACCGCCTTCATCTCAATCTCTCTCGTATCGAAGAGGTTTTTTTTTTTTTTTATCAATTTTTTGTTGGATTTTGTAATCTCTGCATGTGTGTTTCCAATGATAGATTTCTTCATTGTGTAGCATTGTTAATGAATTGATTAATAAAGGACGTGCCTTTTGGTTTAAAGGGTTTTGTTTTTGGTAATGTCGGTGGCTTAAGAGGATTGATTTTGAGAAATGTAGTGTTGATCTGGTGCAATTTTGTTGGGTGATTTGGGGGAATAGGGTTTTTGGAATTTGATTTGTTGTCATGATTTAACAGATTTGTCGGTGTTGTTGTTGTTGTTGTTGTTGCTCTCACTCGATTTCTTGAAATGAGATTTGCTGATCTTTACAAGTGTATTGGGGAAAAATGGTTTACCTTTGGTTCTGTCTGATAGTTGAAAGTATTTTTGGGTGTGTTGAGATGCAATTACATTGATTCTCTTATGGTTCTTGCTCTGTGTGTAATTGATGATTCAATGCTTAGCTACATTTTTCAGCTTTGATATTGAAATGGTCATGCTGTTGTAGTTCGTCTTGCTTGTGATATTGTTTAACTAAGTGGCTTGTGGTTGGGTTTTGCTAGGCTGCATCTGGTGCTGTGCAATGTCAAATGTTGGACATGACCTTTCCAGGAGTTGTGCCAATGCACAAGGTGATTTTATATTCACATTTTATCAACATATCTTGTTTGCTTCTTTCACAGAGCAGTTTATAAATCTCCCACTTTTTAGGTTAACTTTGAAGCAAAGAACGAGTATGAAATGATACAAAACTACAAGGTTATGCAAGAAGTCTTCACCAAATTGAAAATTACAAAGGTAATTCTTTTTCGTGTATATTATTTTTTTTTGCTACATTTGCTTGGGATAAAGATGTACTGTGTGCTAATGCCTTCAATTATATATATTACTCACAATGCTATTGTCTTAGCCATTGGAAGTCAACAGGCTTGTCAAAGGCCGACCACTAGACAATTTGGAGTTTCTACAATGGCTGAAACGATTTTGTGATTCCATAAATGGTGGCATTATGAACGAGTATGGACGTTTCTACCTTCCTTGTCTACATTTTTTTCTTGATTAATAACTAAAAGTCTTCTTACCATCAACCCAATGGTTGCATCATTGTAGGAATTATAATCCAGTAGAACGAAGATCAAGAGGTGGCAGAGAGAAAAGCGTAAAGGGATCTAGTAAGATCTCAAAGTCATTGCAAACAAACAATATGCATCATCCTCCAGTCACTACTTCCAACAAACCAGCTGGTTTGCCATTTGAATTAGCTTCTCTTATCCTATTGCTTGCCTATCCAATTTAGAAGTTTCTCAACGTCATTGAAAATTATAACTCCTAGGTCCCAAGCAAGCAAAATCACATGCAATTGGAGGTGGGAGCAATACATCAGCCGAAGTGCAAGCTCTGTCAAAAGAGGTAATCAACATCTAATCATCACTCTTAACCATTCGGTTTCATTCTTTTCTTCTTGATAATGAAGATAGACTTGTAATGTAACTTTCTTTCACAATACCAGGTAGCAGATCTCAAGGTCTCGGTTGATCTCTTGGAAAAAGAAAGAGATTTTTACTTCTCTAAGCTCCGGGATATAGAGATACTATGTCAGACTCCTGAACTTGATGATCTTCCGGTAAATGTCATAGCAATGCTTCTTTTTTTTTGTTGTTGTCTTTGTTTTTTTCTTAGTTTGAACTCAAATCATATATGTTTTGTTGAAACCACAATATGTGCAGATAGTGGTAGCGGTTAAGAAGGTATTATACGCAACCGATGCAGATGAATCTGTGCTAGAAGAAGCTCAAGAGTGCCTAAACCAGTCTCTAGGGCTTGAGGTTGATGAAGAAGAAGGAAAAGAAGAGGAAGAAGAAGAAGAAGAAGAAGCAGCAGCAGAGACCCAAACTTAAAGTTGTGACAAATAAAAGTAGAGGACAACGATGGTTCATTGCCTTGTATTAGAAGATAGATCACTTGGAGAGGGTGTTTGCACAATATTCAATTTACCCTAACCGGTTTTTTGGTTTTAAAGTAAACTGAACCGAATTTGCTCCTTCCTAAATTTGAAAGATTATATGATGGGTTTTCACTGTATCACAACGATTCTATTAAATGTGCCCCAAAAAGTAAAATTTAAAATTACAAAATAAATAGTTCCATTGTATTATGAAAGTATAATGATAATCTTAGCTTGGAAGGAGAAAAAAAGACAAGTAATGGCATTTAAGTTTCCAAGTGCATAATGCTTTCACTCTTATCCATCAACCTGAGATACATGTACCAGTTACTAAACTCGTGGTCCGATGTTCCTCTGATTTCAACCTTCCTCAAATCATTCTTTTGCAGGTCCTAATAGAGAATGTACATGAAAACTCTTACATCTATTTTGAAGAGATTGTTTCTCCAACAAGCAAAACAGGAGATTCACGTTTCCCAGTTGCTGTCGACTCCTATGTATAGATGTAAGAGTTTTCATGTACGATAGTGACACCACAATATGCAATGAAAATGTTTTCTACAAAAAAATTAACATTAAGTCATACTGTAGTAATGGCTGCTGTTATGTGTGTCCCAATGACAACATATTACCATTGGTTGAGTTATGGGCTTCTGAATCGAAAACATATATTTGGGTGCAAAGAACCTTAAGTAAACGGCTTAACATAAGTAAAAACTAAATTATAAAATAAATAGATTCATTGTTATTTAAAGGAAAAAACAGTGAATTGTTGTTAATCTTAGATTGGGGGAGAAAAAAAACAAGTAATGGCATTCAAGTTTCCAAGTGGATGATACTTTCATTCTTATCCATAAGCTTGAAAGAAAAGTGGTGCTAGCTATTAAACCCGTTGTCTTCTGGTACTTCCTCAAATCATTCTTCTGTATATCATAATAGAGAATGTAAAAAGGGGAACACAACTCACTTGGTACCAAGATAACCTCGCCGTTTCGAGATGTACCTTCCACCGTCAAATCAATGTCGTTATCGACTAAATGCAACTGAGAAGGCTGCAAACTCAAAGATCTCATCGACCAGTTTCCAGCATTTTCCAAGACCCATAAGTCCACCAAACCGTTTTCTTTAAGACTAGTATGATAAAAAATAGCTGGTTTCCCACCATACTCTATAAAACCCAGAGAGCCAACATATGCAGACACCACAAGAGGCGCTTGGATTATGTTAAATTCTTCAGATCTAACGTCAAAGCTGACAACGATATCCTCAAACATACTAGTGAAAGCAAGATAATATATAACTCCACCGATGCACAGTCCAGGTCTTGTAGATATATGAGGTTAATCAAACTCTATTCTTTTCCAAGAATCTCCAACTTCTAGTACAAAGACCCAATGCTCCAAGTTTATCATGTCCAAATCTTGTGAAGATGATGACACAAAATTACAAACTACTTTGTATTGATCAAGAACAGGATCGTGTCCCAAGAAGTAGAGTACACAATGGTCATTTCCTTGAATAAAGATGTTGAATTTGATGGCGGGTAAGGTTACGCTCTGTCTGGTGGTGGGATTATAGATACACGCTTTTCCGCAAACAATGTATAAAATCAAGCCACGAAGAATCACCATGTTGCGTCCTCCCATCCCTTGCATGGTCGTCAAATCTTGGTCGAAACTAGAAGATGATGATAATGATAGCAGTACAGACTCGCGGGGGTTGTGGCAGACCTTCGTTGAACTACACTCGTGGTCCACCAAACTCATGTATAGGCGAGGTGGTGGTCGCAGTGGAGATGCGACCGTAAGATAACAGTTGCTAAAATATCGGGAAAGGATAAGAGAAGAACATAGCTTTGAGACGCACTTGAACCTCATCAGCGATTTAGCAGGCAATCTAGTCAGAATCTCGATCTGGAGATCCAAAGTAATCTCCGGCGCTACCAAATCGCCTCCTCTTTGTCTTCTTCTTTTTCTTCCTCTTCTCATCATCGCCTTTGAAGACCTCTTCTTCCATTGAAAAGAGATGAAATCAAAGCTAGAGACATACGCATAGCTACTAGCCTACTACGTCTAATTCACGAACCTCCACAATCTTTAATATATCAAAATTATTTCCTACTCCTTAATCATCTAGGAGGAACAGGAAACTTTCTTTTGTTGATTCGGAAAAGAAAGTTTACCCTAACCGATTTTTTCGGTTTAAAAATGAACCGAAACCCAATATATATATGTTCCTACTGTATTATGTATTAACTGGGCTTACATCGTTCATAAAATGAAGTATGGCCCAATAACAAATTATCATTGATTCATTTATGGGCTTCTGAATGAGATGATCTTTAAAACTAGACTAGACCTGGCCAAATAAACCGAACCGAAACCGAAGCAAAAAAACTGAACCGAACCAAGCCGAAAATTTGAAAATAACCGAATGGATACTAAATTCTATAACCAAAATAACCGTAACCGAATCGGTACCGAACCGAAATATCCGAAATACAATTAAATTTTCAAAATAATTAATTATTTATAGACCAAATAATCAAAAATACTTGAAAATATATAAAAATAGTAAAAATACTCGAAAATGACCGAAATTTATCCAAAAATATCCGAAAATACTCAAAAATAACTGAAATATCTGAAAATATCCTAAGCAAAATAACCGAATAGATACTAAATTTTTAAACCGAAAGAACTGGAACCGAACCGAAACGAAATTTCAAAATATCCGAATGGATACTAAATTTTGAAACCGAAAGAACCGAAACCGAAGGGACTCAACCGATAACCGAACGGTTAACCGAAAGCCCATGCCTATTTAAAACCATGCATGATTATGATTAAGGTCATTTCCAGCTAATATTTGGATATCTCTAGCTAAGCTCATTTGAATCAAGTTTCTTTCGGGATTATTTCAATAGGGTTATGGGCAGTTCTAAATATTCAAAAATAAACAGAGTTACCTATTGAAAACCCAATTTATTTAACATTCCATTGCGATTAATTTAAGATTTTTTAGTATATGGTTAAAACAATTTGATTACTTATGTGTTTTTCACATAAGACTTACTTATAATATGACTTTAAAACGTATAAGAAGCTCAATCTGTTGAAAATTAAGAGTTCACACTTAGAAGACGATATATTGTTAGTAATAACTTTATATAAAGACATTGATTGAAATGATGCAAGTCAAACACGATTTAGGTGAGTTAACTATACTAATCTTAATTAACCTCTTCATTGTATAATCACATTCACATTGTTTGTCGATTAATTTAGTTATACACATATTGCATTCTAACTTTAAAAAAATATTGACCTAAAATTCATTAAAGAAATTGAAATCGTTACGTATAACACGTGTTACGTGTGTCGGTCGTGTCCTCTCAAAGAAGAAGGACTCGTACAACACATTCTCGATGTCCGCAAGCAAATGGATTCAAAGGGTAACTTCGTTATTTCACCTTCCACCTAAAAGACCCACTTGATTTAAAGGGTACTTTCGTCTTTTCATTTTAGCCAACCCGCTTAACGAACTCCAACACGGAATAGACCCATCAAAGGTTTTACATTTAAAAAAAAAAAAAACAGCTTGCGGCCGCAACTTACAAAAAATTAACTAAAATATTTATATGTAATAAAAAATTGATATTTATGTGTTAAATGTTTGTTTACGTCTTCTCCACGGAGGAAAAGACAAGAAACTCTGAATTTTTATTTTTATAAAAGTAAATAAAAATTGCAAAACCGACGGTAACAGAAACAAAAGGCGGTTCTTTTTTCCATATCTGTAATTATTTTCCTAGTCATAGTTATAAATATGTACTTGGAGCTCAAGTTCTTTTCCTCTCTCAAGAAACAAACACTAATTCAAAAGCTTAAATATTTTTCTTAGTTTGTTGATTCAAAAGTTCCTGTCTTTCAATGGATTACGTGAGAACCCAAGTTGAAGCTGTTTTTGATGATTCAGAGCAAGAAGGATCAACGATATCCGAATCTGGAAGCTGCGATTATTCTTCTGATCGACGGTCTTTTGCTGACGAGCTCGGGCTTATGGAATTGCTTGAAGGAGATAAAGCTCATGATTTAATCTATCGTAATTGTAAATCTGGTCTCGGTGATCAATGCCAGATTCTCTCTGTTCTTAGAAACGGATTCAGGAACGTTGGATCTCGTGCAAAGCTCAAGACTTTTCAGATTTTTCAAGAGGCGGTGCAGATGAAACACGGCGGAGACGGTGGTGGAGGAGCTAAGGTTAAATACGGTTGGTGCTCTGTTGCGAAACAAGAGCTCAAAACGATTTTAGAGTATGGGTTTAGCGAACCGCTGAGAAATGATGGATCTTTTGGCCGTGGATTGTATCTTTCGCCGGATAATTCTCCTCTTGATTGGTAAAGCTTTTTTCTGAATTTCTGAAAGTTTCGATTTTTCGAAATTCATTGGTCTCAAAATCTCATTTTTGGTGTTTGTTTTGATTAGTTTGAAGGATTCAGCTTCAGAATTAGAAGATGGGATGAGATTCTTGTTGCTTTGTAGAGTTCTACTTGGAAAATCAGAGATTGTTCCTCATGGCTCGACTAGATCATGTCCGAGTTCACCAGAGTTTGATTCTGGTGTAGATGATTTAGCTTCTCCGAAGAAGTATATTGTGTGGAGCACACACATGAACACACATGTGTTGCCTGAGTTTCTTGTTTGTATCAAAGCTCCATTTAACTTAACTCGTAAGCAAAACCAAAACCTCTAGTCTTGAAGTTTTCTTTGTCTTGATTCTGGTTTTTTGATATTGTTATTACTGTTTTTGCAGGAAGTCCAAAGAGATTGAGATCACCATGGATGGCATTTCCTGTTTTGATCAAAGCATTGTCGAAGTTTCTACCTCCTTCTCAAATACTTGTCATTCAAAAACATTACAAAGATCAACAAGTAAGTGTTTGTTTTTCTGGTTTGTTTCTTCTTCCATTATCTTTTCAGGTGATTTCACATTCTAATTGTTGATTTTCCTTTGGATTTAACAGAACAGGAGAATTACGCGGAGCGAACTAATCCAACAAGTCAGAAGTATAACCGGAGACAAATTACTAGTTCACATCATCAAAGCTTTTGGACATAAAGTACAACACTAAATCTCCATTGCAGATCACTTTGGCGTTTTTGTTTCAAGGACACAATCACCATGGTTGTATTTGTCTGTTTACCACAACAAAATGATCAGGACTGGTAAACAAATGGTCATGTTCGAGGAGTCTCCAAAACATAGAGTAGTCCCTTTTTATTTATTTCCCATGATAGTGATGAAAAAAAATTGTTCAATAGATTATTTAAGATCGGTCAGATTAGGGTATTAGCTACATTATTAATCTTGTATTTTTTTTTTCTGCACTCTTCTTTCAAAAACATTTGTATCATTGTCTGGCTTTGAGCTGAAGAAAAACCATTATTATTACCAGAGATTCTGGTGACTTTTAAGTTCCTCTGAGTTTCACAATAGCTATCTTTCTTAATCCCTCTACCCCTTGACTAAGTCAACGTCGTTGAAAACTTCATGTTTAAAGCTCTTATTTCCTCACACGGAAACTTCTCGTAGAGATAAACTACAAAACTCATATTTATTCGATGCAACAGCAAACTAAGATCTTAGTTTATTTATTATTAGTGGACATACCACTTCTAAGTAGATGGAGGGAGTTCCCAACCTTGTGGAACGGGACCATAGTCATAGATGACCTCTCTGTGGCATGACCAGACCAGCTTTATAGCCTCTGGTGTCCCTATCCCGGCCCCTCTCGGGTCCCCCGCAGGTCCAAACCTGTGTTTGTATGATATTTTAACTTTTCCTCAAAGAAATAGAAAAAGATACTTTAATTTGGGAGTGTGATTATTTCTCTCACCAGTGATTCTGAGGAGCTCCAGTTGTTCTTCCTCTTAGTCCAGCATATGTAGTCCCATTCACTGAGTTCCCTATTACTTCCTGCACAGATTTGTTACATCAATATCGAGGGCAAAGAGAAGACGAGATTGATTGATGATGGTGATGGTGAAAGGCTTTGCCTGAAGAAAGATGGGATCGTTTGAAACAACAGCTGCAGTTAAATGAGCATGCATCCTCTCCAATGCTTCCAACACTAGAGGAAGTTGATCCTTTTTGTATTCCGTTACTATCTGGATATCAGATACAGAAACAGCACTACATATTTCAGTAAAAGAATACACAGATCATATAGACAAAGCAAATGAAGTCAAGGTTTAACCTGAAATGGTCCAAAGATTTCTTTGGTGACGAGTTCGTAGGTTTTACTATCCTTCAAGATTTCTTCAATTGGAACATAAACTGCAGTAGGCTCCAAAGCTCCATAGATAGAAGGAATCGAATGATTTTTCAATTCCTTGCCACCAAAAAGTAGCTTTGAGCCAGGAATCTGAAGCAGATTCTCCATGTGCTCCAACATTGCCTCAGTTGTAAACTTGAAACACAAGAATAAGTTTTAAAGATACAGTCTCATCAGAGGATTAACAACAGATGGAGAAACAATGAAACTCACTGTGAGGACAGGACCAATTGTTAAGTCTTCCAGTTTGCGTCTTTCCGCTAGTTCTTTTAATTTGGAAACAAGAGGGGTTTTTGACCAGTTCTGCAGAGTGGTTAAAAAAAAAAAAAAACACACGTTGAAAACAACGAAGACAGCAGAAACCAAAAAGATTCAAAGGTAGTTTCACCAGAAAAATTAGGATCAAACCAACCTCATGAACAAAAAGCATAGACTGTGCAGAACACTTCTGTCCACTGCAAGCGTATGCATCTTGATCACATTGCCAGGCAACGTAATCAACCTGACATTAGAGACCGAAACAAGGGTTATAATCACATCTAAAGAGACTTGTAGAAATATAAGTAGGAACTAGGAAGGTTATAATAAGAAACCTCCTGAACATCTGGTCCTAAGACTTTCCAATCAAACCCAGCATCTTCCAATCTGATTCGACCTTTAAGGTCAAGTGCCAACTTTTCGGCTACTCTAGAACTACCCGTGAAGAGGGTCATCCGTGGATTCGCCTGAAAAAGTTACAAATAGACAAGACACTAAATTATCTCAACTAAAAAACCTGTGGAGACTAATAAACTTGTGAATTCCTGACCAAATACCTCTAACAATATCTTGTTCATTGTCTTCCCATCAGAATTTATAAAGTCAACATCTTCAGCGGGTAAACCACAATAATGGAGCAGTCGCATCATTTGCTCCATTACAATGCTTACCTATCCAAGTAACATTGTATTATTTCAGACATATGGAACCAATACACTTAGGAAGACTATATTAATGTGAAGAATAATTAATACCTTGCTGTCAACTTTAAGAAGAGGTTTGTTACCCATGTATAATGCCCCCATCAACTGAAGTAGTGGAATCTCAAGTGGAAAATTAAATGGTGTAACAATCGTTACCTGCATCACAAATCTATGATTTCAAAACAAAGAACAAAACAGAGTTGTCACCAATTACAACCATCTAGGAAGAAGGCCTTACAGGACCATAAGGCCAACGGTAACCATGACTTTGCTGCCCAAGATGATTTCCAGGGATTGCAAAAGACCGTGCCAGGAACCGCACCTGATAAAAGAAAGTGAGGGGAATCATTAAACGTACATTCTTAAGATGTAATTTCGGAAATTCAGCCACAGAAATGAAATATCAAAGCTATGGTTGGTAACCCTTCAAGAATTACAAAAGTTGTTGAAACTGATGACGAGGAACTAACATAAAAATGGTGAAAAGATTCATGTACCTGATCACCGCAAAAGTTCTCTAAAAATTTCCGTGTGACAAAGACTTCTCCAGCAGCTTGCTGGTAACTCTTTGGAGCAGCCCTTTGAATTAGCCTCGCGAAGAAATCAGCTACCTAATTGTATATACACGAATACAATAACAAACGACCAGTAGCTCAGTATGCACGTTATTCGGGAAATCTAAGTTTTGAATTCAAGACTCGACATTCAACAGAAAAGTATGTGTTACCTTAGGCAAGGCGAGCATATGAGCTGCCTTTGTCGAGATATCTCCATATAAAAGGTATCTGTAGAAAACAAGACCATTAGTATCCTTCATATAATAGAACATAATGGGAAAGGACACAACAAGAAGAAATGAATTCATCAAACATCAAGCAAATCATACCTCTCTGGAGATTTGAAAGGGTTATGGAGACCATGTTTCGGGCACTGGGATAAGCTGTCCACAAATGGCTACAACATAGAACAGAGGAAGATTAAAAGTTAGCATTGACACGGATAAGCCACGTTGTAATACGATCAACGGTTTTTGATAGGCTCGCACCTGAGTTCCTGTTTCATCGACTTCAGCAACTTTAATAAAAGGTTCGCCATTTAGAGGATCTAGAAGCGTGTTATGATTTGACGATCCTATCCACTTTCCCTGCACTATAGACATAACAATGAAAGTAGAGCTCAGAGACTCCACAACAGTGTTTAACCAACAAGCTTCACTGAGAATTCAAAGAATCAGTGAGAAGTAAAGCTCTGTACCAAAGCTCTGTACTTCAGCAGGATGAGCACCAGATAGCTCCTCAGCATCTACGGTAGCAAAAGGTATTGAATGATTCAATCTGCAAAATCCACAACACAAAAATTAAGTCAAAGGAACACTCTTTAAAAAAATGGATCACATTCTCGGACATCAAAATGGTAATCAGAAAACAAACACAAAAAGTACCATTTCAAACTCTAATCAGCTAACACTCTCTTCATTACATAGACAATAGCAGATGCGGCTACTCGATCATCCAAATCTCAAATTTTTAAAACACCAACTTGCTAAAGTCTTGTCTTTTTTTATATATAACTCCAGGTAAATCATTTTAAACCAATGGAAGCCAATTAATTTATCCAAAAAAAAAACATGCAACTAACAAAAGAAAGAAATGATGATTTCGTGAGATCAAGGAAAGAGAAATGAGAAGTTTGATAAACCTGGAGAGAGTCAAAGAAGCAAGCGAGGTTGATGATTTGTCATAGAGAGACTTGGCTCTCAGTGCTCGGCTCGCAAAAACTCTATACATTGCGTAAAATCCAGAAGAAACGGAGCAAGATGAGAATCAGACGATTGGAGGAGAGGATTCAAGAAGATTGGTAATAAATAAAATGGCGAATTCTGAGTGATTTGTGTTTATTAGCTTTATTAAAGAATTTAATGTTTTCCCCTGATTGACGAGAAATATATAACTGATTTTAAGATATTTACAGATAATTTCTTATTTCAAGGTTATCTAACTTTGTTACCCCGTAGTTTTTAATTGCTAGATATAAACCCTGATGACTCATGAGTAGTAATCTCTTTTCAAGACCTCCTTCTAATCAAATTGGAGTAATAATTAGTTAAAATATGAATGGAAACTAATAATAATACTAGTAAAATATAAGAGATTTAGGATGTTATTAACTTATCATCTACTATTTACTCTTTCAAATTTAAAATTAAAATTAATGATTTTGTAGTGATCTTTGACATCAAATTCAGGATCAACAAAGGAAATTTGTAAGATAAAAACAGATGTAAATTATAAAAAAATCTTAAATCAATTGATAGTACAGTATTAAAATGGTGATAGCTTGCTGAGTCACGTCCGCTTGGGCCATTATTGACGTGTACGTTTGTCTTTTACACTAACCGACAAATAAATTCCTCAAAAACATTAAAAGTAAAATATTTTCTTCATCTTTGGAAGAAAATATATATGTTTTTTTTTTTAATTTTCTATCTGTTTTTCTTCTTTTTTTTTTTTTTTTTGTAAACCTATCTGTTTTTCTTCTTCTCTTCCTTTATTTGGTGAAGAAAAAGGAAAGAAAATCTCAACTTTGATTCTCTCTCCCTCTATATATATATATACTTTATTTTATTCTCCACTCATTGTTTCATCATCTCCTTCGTTCATCGAAGGCTAAATACTGTATTGGAAAAACCCTAATTCCTGGTGTTGCGAATCACTTCCATTGCAGCTTTGAATTTCAGGTAATTTTAGGTTAATCAATCTTTCTTACGTGATTGTAGAATCTGATCCTAAGGCTCGTTGAAATTGATGATTGTACTCTGATCTACTTAAAATTCCGGATTGAGGTTTGAATTTTGACTCAGCCACTATCTCTGAATCGAACTTAATCTGCTAGTTAAAATATCCGATCCTCAAGCTTTATAAGTTTAATAGTTTGGGTTATATAAATGTAGATCTTGGTCTCTGCTTCTACTTCTTTGGGGATTCAAGAAAGTTGAAAACTTTATTCAGAGAATTTGGTCCTAGTTCATGCAATTGCTCTCATGTTACCATACTTGTGACTTGTGAGAAGAGTTCATAAGTGTTAACTTGAAATCTTTTATATTTGGATGCAGTTTGTGAATTTTAAAGGTTTCCAACAACAATGACAACTCCAGCAAGAAAGAGACTGATGTGGGATT